CTAAAATAGGCCTGTGCAGGACTACAGCGGAAAAGATGTCTGAAAATGATACATGTGATGATAATTGTACATTTTGGATATAGGCATTTTTTCTAAACTCTAAAATGATTTTAAAAATAATGATCTTATAAACTCCTGGAGTGGTACGGATGGAGCAGTATGGCTGCTAACAAACCCAGTTGACATGGTAAATGTAATATGTTCGGGTTAGGAACGCAACATTACTACGAGACACCTGCTGAAAGGGAGCTGAGATACYGGTAAAATAAAAACAATAAATAATAAAATGAGTAATACAATTTATAATAATATGAAAAATTGGGTGTGTAAGTTGAGATGGGAAAGTACTAATTGTTTCCTGTAATTTTTGAGATTTTTGTTTTAAGCAGTGAAGGAGTTAAACATGGATAGTACCCAGGTAAATGTTTATTTACAGGCTAAATGACCGAGAATAATTGCGCACTCCCATTGAAAGTTGCGACGAGAAGCTATATTTGAGTGTAGTGTGTACTAGCTAAATTAAAAGGGTTTTCTGGCTAATAAAAATAGAGTCAAAATAAATTATACTGGGGAGGGTCCAAACAGACAAAGGCCTCAGACAGAAGGAGGGTCTGAGGTGAAGGGTGTAACACGAGAAAAAAAAAACACTTTCTGCCAATTAAATTTCACAGAAGAAGAGGTGGTTGTATTAGGATATTTGTTCTGATGGGTTAAGGTATAAATATTGAAAATGTTAATTGTAGGTGCAGCATTAAGTATCAGCTTAAGTATCATTGGAGCAACATATACCTTTTGGCCTACGAGATAAAACAACAGGAGGATTCCAWCCCTGGGACCATCGCACGACCCATACTAAAAGGGTGAGGAGTGACGGCGTGGAGAAAAAAGCCCAACGTCTATAGCTGACATTTTTAGATATAGAATGGTAACATTGAAATAGTTACACTCACGTAGTCTGACATGATATTTATAGGTTAACGAGTCGATGGTAAATGATTTTTGTAAAATGTTGTTTGATTTTCCTTTGTGTTTTTCATTATTGATTCTGTTTATAGAAGTGACACACTTAGCAGGATATGTTTAGAACTGTTTTAGCATTTTGGTTGATTTGTTTTTATTGTTCTTTGCACGGTTCAATTGTTGATGAGCTAAGGTTAAATCTTAATATGCAGYGATGTTGTTAGTAACCAAGTCAGTCTGTCATGGAAGACAGGAGATGGAACAGTGCTGAGGACTTGTTCCCGACGGTAAGCCATGTACTGGAACCTCTGGCCTCAATTAGAATAAACACAGCTGACCTGGTTGGTATTTGACAATAGTTCAGTTTATATTTTCTATTTTTTTGATTGGGATGGAATAAATGGATCATATTACTTTATATCAGGGGTGGGATGTCAGAAATTTTCCATGTTGGGCTGTATCGCTTAGGGTAATTTGCATACACATTTGTGCCTTAATGCGAACATATAGATTATTATAAATTTCTTATTTTTGTTCACATGATTTGGTCATGTGAACAGGGGGATTGAATAAATTTATAGTTATTAGAGGTTAGTACTGATGTTAAAAGCACAACACTATATTCTTAGGTTTTCCTTTTTGTAATGTTGATAATGTTTAATCTATTAT